TGTGTGTGTGTGTGTGTGTGTGTGTGTGTGTGTGTGTGTGTGTGTGTGTGTGTTGGGGGGGCGAATGCTCATGTGTGTGCATGTATGCATATGTGTGCGCATGCATGTGTGCATTGAAGCCCAGAGGGTGCCCCCATACCTCAGGTCTTTCATAAGCACATTCCCCCCCATCTTTATTTTAATTTTTAAGGTTTATGGTATGCATATGCATGTGTGTGTGAACACATGTACATGTGAAAATCAGGGCCACTTTGTGGAGTTGGTTCTTGCCTTTGTTCTTTGCATAGATTCCGAATGGAAGTCGGGTCAGCAGGATTTAATGGCAAGCATCTTTACCAACTAAGCCATTTTGCCAGCTGTTTTCTTTTTGTAATGTTTTAATATCTACAGAGAATATGTAGAGGGATTTTTTTTAAAAATCATTTATCCTGCCTGGTGGTAGTGGCACATGCCTTTAGTACTAGCACTTGGGAGGCAGAGAGAGGCAGGTGGATCTCAGAGTTCAAAGCCAGCCTGGTTTACAGATTGAGTTCCAGGACAGCCAGGGCTACACAGAGAAACCCATCTCCAAAATTACCCCCCATCAAAAAAAAAAAACAAACAAGCCAAAACAAAACAACAATTATCCTATAGTAAAATAAGAGCAGTATGAGGAATCTACTAATTAGACTGTAACGCACAATAGGATAATGAAAAGATCTTACGATCTAATGGATACATTTTGAGTGTTGATTACTCATAAAAGACATGAAAAATTTTAAATCTGTTGACCATACTAGCTGAACAGCACCTCTAAACATATGCTTTAGTTGGGGACATGGGTTGGAAGTGTAGTCTTACTGTTTTTGTTGTTGCTGTTGAGATCCTGCCCTCTATTTGCTAGGGGATGAGTTGTATTTTCCGTTGTAAATGTCATTGTAAATAAAAAAACAAACAAACAAGTACTGCTTATCTTAAATTGCAAAACAATTTTCAAACTTAATACTTTTTAGGTGATACCAGTAATTTGAGTGATGATTCTATATGTGAGTGCAGGTATGCAAATGGAAGCCTCAGGTCAACATTGGGTGTTGCTCCTTAAGAGTCATTCACCTTTTTTTTTTTTTTAAATATATTTTATCTAGCTGGGTGTAGGCCTTTAATATCAACACTTAGGAGGCAGAAGCAGACAGAACTCCTTAGTTAGAGGTCAGCTTGGTTTACATAGTGAGCTCCAGGATCCCAGGTCTATGTAATGAAGGCAGCTGTGGTATTTTTTTTGTTTTTGTTTTGTTTTTCTAGACAGGATTTCTTAGTATAGCCTTGCCTGGTCTGCCCTTGGGAGGCAGAGGCAGGCAGATCTCTGTGAGTTCAAGGCCAGCCTGGTCTACAAAGTGAGTTCTAGGATAGCCAGGATGACAGAGAAACCCTATCTCAAACAAACAAACAAACAAAGGTATTTTATCAAAGGTATTTTTAACAAAAGTGTTTTGCCTGCATATTTGTATGTGCTTCAAAAGGTGGCAAATTCCTTGGAATGGGTGGTTGTAAGCCACCATGTAGGTGCTGGGAATGAAACTCTGGGACTCTGGAATAACAAGTGCCTTTAATAACTTAGCCATCTCTCCAGCCTTTTGAATTTCTCTTTTGAGCTTCTCCCCAGTGCTAGGATTATAATCCTCTGCCACCAGGCCCATTTTTTATGTGGGTCTTGTATGAAATTCAAGTCCTTTTCTTTGGGTAACAAATGCATTACTTACTGAACTGTTCCTCCAGTCCTGTTTATTATTTTTAGTTCTTAAGGTCTATATTCTTTCAGTCTACCTTCTGTGTACCTTAAAAATGTGCTAGTGTAGGTGGAAGTAACAGGAAGTGGAGGGTGTTTTGCTTTTGAGGTAACGCCATGCTTTGTTGTCAAGTCTGATCTTGAACTCCTGGGCTTTATTCATCTTCCTTCTTTAGCTGTCCATGTGCTCAGACTAGATATATTCACCACAAAGCCAGTTCTCTTCTTTTTAATTTTAAATATTTATGTATTTTGGTTTTTTTTTGGGGGGGGGGAATGACAAGATCTCACTGTGTATCCCTTGGTGGCTTGGAGCTCATCAGTCTGCCTGTTACTGCCTCCAGAATGCTGGGATTTATCTGCTTCTAATTCCAGAGCACTGGGTTTAAAAGCTGTGCCCCACTCAGTGTCATTATTATCAAACTCAGTGTTTGATAATTAGTTGTTTCCTATTTATAAATTATTAAAGGTAGGAAATGAAAATGAAAATTTTGCCTGTTTTTTGAGACAGAAAAGAGATAATAGCTCATTGCCAGCAAGATTCTGCAAATAGATGAGATTAAGATTCATTGAGAAATACTGTCTCAGTGCTGTGAAGTCAGAGGTAGGAGGGTCATTGAGAGTTAGAAGCCAGCGTGGTCTACAAAAGAAGTCTAGGGCAGCCAGTGCTCTGAAACCCTATCTCTGAAAACAACAAACACAAAAATCCAAAAAAACAGAGAGATACTGTTTCAAAAAAAAAATTTTTTTTTTTTTTTGAGAACAAGCAAAGACAGACCTTTAATGATTACCTCTGGCTTCCACATGCACACCTTGTGCACATATGTAGAGACCTTCACTAGCAAGTACACATAATACATACCTAACAGTACAAGAGACAGAAAAGATAGAGACAGACACATCCTGACTGAGACCTTTAAATGGGCTTGGTGGTCACTTGACAACCCAACATTCAAAAGGCTGGTATAGAGGCATTGCTTAGTGTTTGAGGACTGGCCTAGAACTCTACAAACTTTTTTCTTAGTCTCCCAAAAGCTGGGATTATAGATGTGAATCACGATGCCCTTTTAATTTTGGTTGTTTGAATAAATGAGCAGTTAAATTTGCTCAAGGAATCAGGGTCAGGGTTCAGTGAAATGAATGGGCATATAGTTATAAAGATAGTTGGGAGGCTGGAGCAATGCCTTACTGGTAAAGAGCCCTGGCTAGTCTTTCAAAGGGCCAATGTTCAATTTCCCAGCACTTGTTACAGTTATTATAAAACTGTGTTTGTTTCTCAGGTTCTCTCTTAATCTGGCCATCACACAAATAATTGAACTCTTTTATATTTGTTTAATAATAAGCTTCAAAACACAATAACTGAGCAGTTATTACTCTATTCTTAGCCCTGTAAGCTTATCTGTTTTACTCCCAGCTGTGCATCCCAAAGATATTTGTGCTTTGTAGCCTTCTCTGTTCCAGCTTTCTCCCCCTGTGTCTCTTGTACCCTTGCCCATGGCTCATTCATGTCCCTGTTTTTCCCTTGCTGGCAGGAAGTCCAGGCTTATTCACTCCCCTGCCCATCGATTGGCTGTTTTTGGCATATCAGGGAACAACTGGGGAGCAATGTTTACACAACATTGAGATGGGAGATTCTCAGAACAAGGATTACAACCCAATATGGGGTGGGGTACAGAAATCAGCATTTGAATTACACAATAACCTTATACCTACAAACACCCACATAGTAGTTTATAACTGTTACTCCAATCCCAGGGGATTTAACCTCTGCAGGCACCACATGCACGTGACATATAAACATGAATACACCCATACACACAAAATAATAAAATAGTTGAAATACTTAGAAAAAAATAGCATTCTGATAACGTAAAGCTTATACTAGTGACAGAGAAAGTGAATTTAGTTAATGATAATTCAAAAGCTTTTGTTTTGGGTTTTTGAGACAGGGCTTCTCTGTGTAACCCTGGCTGTCCTGGAACTCACTCTGTAGATCAGGCTGGACTCAAACTCACAGAGATCCTCCTGCCTCTGCCTCCCGAGTGCTGGGATTAGAGGTGTGTGACACAACAGCTGGGGTCAAAAAACATATAGCTGAGTACACAGGCCTTTAATTTCAGCACTTGAGAGGCAGAGGCAGGCAGATCTCTGATTTCAAGGCCGTTTGGTCTACATCCTGAGTTCCAGGACAGTCATTACTATATAGTGAAACCCTGTCTCTAAAACAATAACACCAACAATAAAGGATGTAGTGCCTGATTGGCCTGAAGTTTGATTGTAGATCCACTTGCTTCTGCCTCTTATGTGCTTTGATTAAAGGCGTGTGCCAACAAGTTAGGCAAGAAATGTTTACATTGTACTTACAGGTTAATTTAAATTTCATCAGCAGAATTTTCAAGATTGTAACTTGGGTAGGAGTCAACACAGAGTTAAGGCAACCTAATCACTACATGTGAACCTGTAAAAAAGTGTGAATGAGAAACCAGGAACTATTAGAAATGAGGACAAAGTGTATATGTACATCAGTATTTCCTGGTAATTATTTTGCTATATAATAGCTCTTTCTTTATGTCAGGCTCTGCATATTTGGCACAGTTAGTGCCTTACAGTGAAAGTGTTAGTTAAACATTGGATTTTATGGATGGTCATTCTGTTTACTTCTTGCTTTCTTTTCTTTTTTCTTTCCTTTTCTTTTCTCCCCTCCCCTTCTCTTCCCTCTTTCTCCCTTCTCTTCCCTCTTTCTCCCCTTCTTACCTTCCCTCCCTTCCCCAGACAGGGTTTTTCTATGTAGCCTTCTCATATTTTCAAGGTTTTAATCTATTAAAATTTATTGAAGCAAGATTTTGACCTCTTCAGATTGGTTTGGCCTGAACTGATAGAACATGTCCTATTAAAGACTCATTCCTTCTTAAAAACTTCCTTAAAATAGAATCTTCCTGTAGAATGTCTTTTTTCCCCCCCCCCAGGTCTATTTTTGTGTAGTCCTGCCTGTCTTAGAACTCCCTATGTAGACTAACCTTGCCTTATACTCACAAAGATCCTCCTGCCTCTGCCTCTGGAGTGTTGGGATTAAAGGTATATGCAACCATGCCTGGCAGAATGGATATTTTTCAGTGGTAATAAACTATATTTGAAGCCATGAAGTAAATCTTTGAGGAAAAAGACTAAATGTAAAACAATAGACCTAAGTGATAGTTGTGAGACAGTTCAGATACTTTGAGTTTTCTTTCTCCTTTAGTTAACAGAACTAAGAACAACTACTACTTCTTCTTTCTTCTTCTTCTTCTTCTTCTTCTTCTTCTTCTTCTTCTTCTTCTT